AAGAGGGAAAAAAATCTTGTTACTTTAGGGTCACTGGGGTTTTTTCTATCTTTAGAGAAGGGGTTTTTTTATGAGTTGCCTGAAGGTATTTTTTCATTCATCAATGGAGAAAGCATATTACAATGGTGAAGCTTTGGAGAGCAATCATCAAAGGGCAAAGTGGTACAGAAGATCCTGCAAAGCATGGAGAGCTCAAGTTCTGAGCATACCAGAGGGTGCAGTATTCTATTTGTACATGGTGTGCTTTGCTAAAAGTGGTTACATTTGGTTTGTAGCAAAAGCCAGAGAGCAAAACTCTCCAGATGAATGTCAGAATTTCATTAGTGGGAGGTTTGGCCCGGTGAGAAAGGGGACTAGACCTGGAACCAAAGTTGTGTTGCTTCAAGAGCAGTGGACATTGGAAAATTAGAGAAGAAATGGGGCATTAATAGAGGTTACCTGGGTTCTGGGGTGCAGTGAAGCATCTGGCACCTGCAGGACACAACTCCAGGGTTTACTGAGCTTGAAGCTTCCATCTGGACCATAAGGTTTAAGAGCTGCTGATGGACCCATCCTTCAGGAATTAACCTAAGCACTTTTTAAAGCCATTTGCATCTTAGCCAAATCCTCTGCAATCTCTGGGTAGTTGGCTTCATTGTGTATGGGTTTGTTAAAAAAGGAAACAAAACTGCAAATCCTTCTTCATCCTCGTGTTTTAAATTTGCTTCCTGCCTTGAGTAAGGACTCATCCTGCTCTCCCCTCCTGCTGTTCCCTGTTTTGCAGCTGTGTTCTGGCTCATTTTGTAATTGTAACAATCCTATCAAAGAGGGTTAAAAACAGAATCCATTTGTAATTTTATTTTACAATAGTGGTGCCCTCCAGGCCACTGGTGCTCCTTATATTTGTCCAGGCTGTGATTGAAAAGTGATTTCATCAAAGTTTTCATCCATGTTAAAATGAAAATATGCAGTCTGCCAACTGGGGCATAGTGCAAGCTAAGAAAAGGTTTCCTGCAGATAAACTCTGCTCAGTTACTCTCTTCTGTGCTTATATAATCCTAGGCCATCTTTTACAGCATCTTGTACAGTTACTTTGCATTTTTATATTTTTTTTAAACTCTTGTTGGCTTGGTTTGAATTGGATGGTGTTCATAAAGATTAATTCAGCTTCAGAATAATCTATTTATTTTCCAAGCTTTAGAACATGCTGTTCCTCAGCACATGGCCATCACTTTATCACAACTGATCTGAGATGCTTAGAGTTTTGGATCAATGCTAAGACAAAGCAATTATTCCACTCTGCAAGCTAAAACCAAACCAAATACAAATGGAAGTTCCAAAGTCTTTTATTGTAGCCCTTACATGGCTGAGCTGCCCTCCAGAGGGGTGGACTGAGAGAATCCTGAACCCTGGAGAACTTGTTCATTTCACAAGATCCTTCATGTATTTCCAGCCTTCCACTGTGTATTCACAGGCCCTGGTGGGGGCTACAGACAAGGCAGACATGACTGTGTGCACTCCTGCAAGGAAAGCAGAGAAGAATTACCCCAAGATCAACAGCATTCAAGCCAAATTTCCCAGTTTTCAGCACCACCATTGTAGATCTCTTTAAGCCCTGAGCATTTCTGACACATAAATTCCAACTTCAGGCCCTGTACATGAGTGAAGACAATTACAAGACTGAGCTCAGTTTTTGTTTAAGTCCTGTTTTATTTCTTGCCTTGCCAGAGCCTCCATGGTGATGCTGGACATGTTCCAATTATTTGTGGATTGTGTTTCCCCACAATTACATGAAGACTCTCTGCTGCACCATAAAAACTGTGTATTACTAGGTATTTATAACATGCTTTGCCTTCAAACAAAAATGTCTAAAATTCTAATAACAATGGGAATGTTCATCCCTTCTGAAAAGCCAAAGACTGAGTTCAGATTCAGTTAGTGAGCAGTGATTTTACCTTTATTCCAGGAATTAGAGACGGAAAACTCAAATTTTGGAGTAGGTGGGAGCTAGAAAGAAAAAGAGAGACAAAATATCAGCACTGGAGGGGTTTCACTTGAAATTCCTATCACCTTGGCAAAGCCTCTTGACCTCAGATCTCAAAAATACTTAGATGCATACTCTCCATAAGCCTCAAAAGCTTTAAGTCTGGGCTTTGCTCTTTCCTGCAATACAAAGTAGGTAAAAAAGGTAGACAATATTATTTTGGTGCTCCTGGAAAAAACAAATCCACGGTTGTCTCTGTTAATTTATAGTTGTCTATAATAGGAAAAATGCTTTTCAAACTTTAAGCAAAGGCCTTCTTTTCTGAGGATTTTAAAAACTAAGAGCTACTCATAGAGGAGACACTTCTTCAAGCAATTTAATTTCAACTTGGTGAACTGTTAGCAATATAAGAAATTGAGAGGGTAATATTTTGATTGTTTTTCTTAAAAACATGTAGGATCCTTCAGAAGCAGCTTAGAAATACCACTGCATGGTGAAATACCCCCCAGAGCATGTTTGCAATCCCCTCCTTGACCCTGCACAGGCTGGTTACCCCTCTCCTTTGAAACAACATCTGTGAGCAATGTCTCTGACCCAAACTTCGAAGTTTATCCATTTTCCATTTCAATCCTCTTCAAAATACTTGCCATGTGAAATCCAGTTTCAACAGTAAAACTCCTGCCAGCCTCACTGTAATCAGAACATCACCTTCATATTTCCTCTCCCTGATCCAGAGGAGGTGTCTGTGTTGCAGGGATCACCTGAGCAGTCCTTACCTCCCAGCCCAGGTAATTTGTCCACTCTTGGATAGCTGGAGGCAGTGTTTCTTGAGCTTTTTTGAATGCTTTAGCACCTTCTGTGCCACTGCCCAGCAGCCCCTGGTCATATGCCACATACACAGCAGCTCCAGCCAGGCCTCCTTTGATCAGAAACCTGAAAGAATTGAAAGCAGTTCAGTTTGTGTTCTGACCACCAGTGCATCTCTCTCAGTGGTTGTGACTGCCAAAGAGAAGGTATCAATAAAGAAATCTCATGTCTTACTGCAGGAAAAATCAGCAGAAAAATGCCCACCTATGTTCCTTGCCTTTCTAGGACAACTATTCCCTGTCAGCCCCTTGAAACTACACCTAATTCACATTTTATCAGTGATGGTTTACAATATAAAAACGAGAAAGTGTCAAGTTCCTCAAAAGCATGTGCCACTTTGTAAAGCCTGAGAATCACTGGCATATTCCTCTGCTAAAAGCAACTAAAGATTTTGCAGTGGGCAAGCCATCCATGTTAATGGTGTGATTCTTCCTGATAAATGTGATATTTATCTAATAAAGCTGACAGACACTGATATCTTGTTAAGCTCATTACAGTTCAGTGAACACCTGGCCATGGCGTTTGCATTGCCAAGGCTTTTAAGTTTCCCTGCATGATGTGCAGTCACCAGTTTACAGCTGTGATGGCAACCTACAAAAGTGAAGTCGGGAAGAGAATATTTGGCCTTTATTGGCATTTTTGTTATAAATAAGAGATCTGAGGTGACTGGCTTTCCCAGACTCACAGGGCAGAGAGATGCTTAAAAAAACAGCAAAAGCTGTTGTACAAGGGGACAACCCAAAACTTGGCAGACAGCGGTACTGCAGTAGTGGGACATACGACAGATACAAAACAGCGGACAAGAAAGAACCAGTTTTTTAAGTCGTGTATTCACATGCATTTCGGGGAAAAGGGATTTCTCTGCTATAACGTTCTGTTCTCCCCAATGATACCATTCTGCACGTCCTCGCTGTGGGTGTGGGCTCAGCTCCGAGCGCAGCGCTGATCCCGAGCTTACGTTACATGTCCATGCTCACCCCCAGCCAGCGGCAAAGCCGTGCCC